TTGAGCTAATTTTGCTCAAGACTAGTGCTGTGCCACTTGAATCACAGCACCACTTCCAGGAGTGTTTTAGTAGTTTATTGGAGATGAATCTCATGGACTTTCTTTCATGGGCTGGCTTCAAACATTGGTCCTCAGATCTCTGCCTCCTGAGCAGCTAAGGTTATAGTCATGAGCCAGTAGTGCTGGGCTCCAAACTGACCATTTTCTCTGGAGAAATATTACTTCGCACTGAAATAGTGAATCCAAATAGTTCATTAGGTAACAAGGAATGGTATCTCAGGAGCAACCCACAGTGCATCTATTGTTGACAGTTTCTATTCGCATATACTGTGACAGATATCAAATGTTCCCAAATCAAATACCCTAACCACTTTTCTCTTATAGACCCTTCTTAAAGTATTTTCAGCAGGTTTTGTTAGTTTGTTTTCTGCTAATTCTAGGTCTTGAACTTGGGGCCTGAGTACCATACCTATGCTCCTTTTGCTCAAGCATAGCATGCTACCACATGAGCCACAACCCCATTTCCTTTCTTTTGGAAGTTTATTAGAGATAAAACTCACTGATTTTTCCTGCCCAACTGGCTTTGAACTGTGATCCTCAGATCTCAACCTCCCTAGTAGATAGGATTAAAGTTGTGAGCCACTTTCCCCCACCTTCATTGTTGACTTTTGTATGTGCATGTAAACTACTTTGACCACATTTGTCTATTTGCCCTTCCCCTCACAATGCTACCCCCACCAATAACTTTATAACAGCTTTCTTAATCCCTTGATTAAATAAACCAAGCAAAGAGATAATTAAAAATGATATGCTACTTCTTAGGTTGCCTTGCTCTTAGCATAGTATCACTTCAAGTTAAAAACAGATTAACAAAAATTAAAGAAAAACATCAAAGAGACTCAAATTAAAATTGAACAAAGTAAATTCTGATCTTCAACTTTTAGGTCTCCAAGTAAAAGGAAAGAAGAAACTGTTGTTGGGAGTTCCAGGTAACCAGCGAGGCTTGATAGTCAAATGCAATGTGTGATCCTGAAATCTGAGGGGAATATGAGCAGTAGTAATGTATAAATGTTTAAAATCCCTGACTTCAATGGTTATGCTGGGGTGAAGTTGAGAATGTCCTTGTGCACAGGATATATGTTTTGTATTCAAGGGTATTAGATATCATCATATTTATGACTTAATGAAAATAACATCATGATGGCTCTTCCACAACAGATGCTGGAGGGGATGTGGACAGAAGGGAACCTCACTTGTAAACTTGTTCAACCACTTTGGAAAGCAGTGTGGAGGTTCCTCAAAAGACTCCACATAGAGCTCCCCTATGACCCAACAATCCCACTTTTGGGCATTTACCCAAATGTTCACAAACAAGACTACACTAAAGCTACCAGCATGACTGGGTTTATTGAAGCATTATTTACCATAGTTAAGATATGGAACCAACCCAGATGACCCTCAGTAGATGAATGAATCAAGAAAATGTGGTCTATATACACAATGAAATTCTATGCCTCCATCAGAAAGAATGACATTGCTCCATTTGTTAGGAAATGGAAAGATTTGGAAAAAAAATTATATGAAGTGAAGTTAGCCAGGCCCAAAGAAACATAGGTCCCCATGGTTTCCCTTATTTGCAATAACTATTATATGTCTGAGTCAAGCAGAAAAGGTCAGATAAGTTGATGTTAGAGAAATGAACCCTAAAATATGTATTCAAATGTTTTTTTCCATGCGATTGTTTCTTACACATTTATAAGATTATTTCTTTGTTGCTTTGTATGTCCCTCCCCCATGGTATAACCCCTGCTTTCACTGTATTTGATGTCGGTATAATTTGTGGAGGGGAAGGGAAAAAACAAGTTGTTTAAATAGGGATACAGGTGGACCCATTGCAACAATGAGAAGTACAAGTCGTTATGTCGAAAACAAACTTTACAACTTTGGTGGGGGCGGGGGGGGGAGGAGGTTTGGGTTGGGGGGCAGGGGAGGATGGGAAGGGATGGGAAGGGGAAACAAAGGAGTAGGCTACAATGCTTGATAAGAAATTTACTCATTATCTTGCCCATGTAATTGTAACCCCTCTGTACAGTATTTTCACACACACAAAAATTCATTGAGTAATCCTAGCTACTCAGAAGGCTGAGATCTGAGCATCATGGTTCAGTTATTTCCAAATAACCATCAAAAAGCTGGAAGTGGAGCTGCGGCTCAAGTGGAAAAATTACTAGCCTTGAGGGGAAAAAAAGCAAACAAGGACAGATTCTAAGCTCTGAGTTCAAGCCCCAGGAGTGGGGTGAGGGGGAACGTTTGATTGAGAAGGAAGACAAAAGACAGTCAAAACTGAGTAAAGTATGTAATAAGAGTTCAGACCTTACAACCTAGAATGCCTTTAATCAAGGATGCCTGTCTTAGTTGGGTTTTTCTTGTTGTGATTGTAGGCAAACAGCATTGAATTGGAGAAAAAATAGCTTTCTCCACTTAATTCAAATGTCAAAAAGAAGAAAAAGCCTATCTTGCACAAGCCTATAAAGCAGGAGTTACTTGAGGGGAATGAAGAAAGCATGAAGAAGAGCTCAGCACCCACAGAGAATGGTGTGTCAGACCAGGAAGGCAAAAAGGAGGACCAGGAGCCAGAATCATCATGTGGCCTCAATTCTGTGGATATGTGCAGAGTCATGTGTTCATTCCCTAGCTCTTAGGATTTCGTCATGGCTAGGACACTAAACTAGCTTTTCTACATAGCTCTTACCCTATACCCTGATGCCCTACTCTGCTTTGTTAGCCTTGTCCAATACTTTGGGAGGTAGTTCTTTGGTTTATTTTTATCATTCTAAATCTAGTCTCTATCATCATAGATATGTCAGAATTGGCATGTTGGTCTAAATATCTGGGAATAAATCTACTTCTTCCACTGTCCTCCCCACAGACATCTTCAGGTAGAAAAATGTTGTTTCCTGCCCTTGGCCTTAGTGCCATCTTCTTAGAAGCAACTGCACCATGAGAGCCAAGTGGAGGAAGAAGCGAATGCGCAGGCTGAGAAGCAAAAGAAGGAAGATGAGGCAGAGGTCCAAGTAAACCAACTTGTGCACCCGTCGAGGCCAGAGGAGCAGGAGGAATAAGGAATGCCATAGGCTGGGATGCTGAAATGTTGGACTGCATGCCACTGTGATTTCCCAGTGGATCCAGAACTTCCATTGCCAAGATCATCTCTGAAAGACACACCTTGCTCATAACCAAGCATCCCCTGATGGTCCTGTTCCCTGGACCTGTGACATTCTGGACTAGTTCTGTTCATAGTTGTGGCCGAGTGTAACATGTTACAACAAACCATCTCTTTTGCTGTTGTAAGAAAAAAAAAGAAAACAAAAATGTTGTTTCCTTATTGAAAATGCACCCATTTCAAATATTTTGTGGAAGTTTTTTTTTGTTTGTTTTTGGGGTTTTATGTTTTTTGTTTTGTCAGTCATGGGACTTTAACTCTGGGCCTAGGCACTGTCACTCGCTCTTCAGCTCAAGGCTAGCACTCTACCACTTGAGCCACAGTGCCACTTCCAGTTTTCTGAGTAGTTTATTGAGATAAGAGTCTCAGGGACTTTCCTGCCTGGGCTGGCTTTGAACCTTGATCCTCAGATTTCAACCTCCTGAGTAGCTAAGATTGCAGGCTTGAGCCACCGGTGCCTGGCTGGAAGATTTTTATATGTGGATTTATGGAGGGGTGTATTTGTTTTCTACTTTTCAAATCATTATTTAATGACCATTATTTTGGTATTGGGCAATTTTATTATTTTAATTTGGGGAATTGCTTTATTTTGTCTTGTTTTTGCCCATAATGGTATTTGAACTCAGGGTCTCATACTCACCTTACTTGAACTGTCCAGCTCTTTGCTTGTTGAAGATGGAGTTGCAGACTTTTCTGCCTGGCCTGGCTTTGAATCACCATTCTCCAGATCTTAGCCTCCTAATTGAATTTTATGTTTTCAAGAGTATGGAATGTAAGCCAGGCATGGGAAGCTCACATCTGTAATCCTGGCTACTCAGGAGACTGAGATGAGAAGCCAGCCCCAAACATAAAAGTTCCTAAGTCTCTCAACTCTAACAAACTTCTCAGAAAAGGCTAGCAGTAGTGCCATGGCTCATGTGATAGAGTGTTAGCTTTGAGCAGAAGAAGCTCAAAGACAGCACCCAATCCCTGAGTTCAAGACACAGGTCTGGTGTGGGGGTGTGTGTGCAGAAGAGTGAGTTTCAAACAGTCAATTGGAAACTCTTCTTCCCAACATTTCATGGCCAGTCTTCCCTCTCATGTCCATAATCCTAGCTACTCAGGAGGCAGAGATGTAAGGATTATATATTTTTTTTCTTTTTTGTCGGTCATGGGGCTTGAATTCTGGGCCTGAGCGTTGTCCCTAAGCTCTTCAGCTCAAGGCGAGTGCTCTACCACTTGAGCCACAGCACCACTTCCCCCTCTCCTCCTTCATAGAGGCCACAGTATTACAGGTTTTCTACCAGAGGCATAGAAACTGGTGCTTTTTGTTTTACATTCAATTCACTTTGGAGCTTTAAAAAAACTTCTATAACTTATAATAAAGATTTATACTACTTCCCTACTGAAAATTAACTGATTTTTTTTTTTTTGGTCCGGTCGTGGGGCCTGAACTCTGGGCCTGGGCGCTGTCCCTCAGCTCTTCAGCTCAAGGCTAGCGCTCTACCACTTGAGCCACAGCGCCACCTCCGGCTTTTTTCTTTTTGCTTATGTGGTGCTGAGGAGTCGAACTCAGGGCCTCAGGCATGCAAGGCAAGCGCTCTACCACTGAGCCACCTTCCCAGCCCTTAACTGATTTTTTGAAAAGCATAGAAAACAATCTTTGTCATGGGTCCCAGTGAAATTAGATGCAATAATGTTAGTATAAGTAACATAGCACAAGTTTATATCAAACAAATACATCACTGATAGTTAACAACTTAGATACAATCATCTAACCACTAGAATCCATATCACTAACTTTGTTAACCCAACACAGTTGTGCACTAAGGAAAGATTAATAAATGTAAAAGGAACTCAGCAAACACAAACCCCGCCTGTTTACCAAAAACATCACCTCTAGCATCACAAGTATTAGAGACATTGCCTGCCCAGTGACTTAGGTTAAACGGCCGCGGTATCCTGATTGTGCAAAGGTAGCATAATCATTTGTTCCTTAATTAGGGACTTGTATGAATGGCATGATGAGGGTTTAACTGTCTCTTACATTTGATCAATGAAATTGACCTTTCCGTGAAGAGGTGGAAATAACAAAATAAGTTGGGAAGACCCTATGGAGCTTAAATTGACATTCCAATTTCAACTAATCTCAAATCTATTTGATTCAACAAACAAACCACTGGAAGATAAATTTTGGTTGGGGTCACCTCGGAGCATAAACCAACCTCTGAAGGACTAACATTAAGACACACAAGTCAAAATTATGAAAGTCCAAATATTGACCCAGAATTATATATATATATAATGGAATTTTATGCCTTCATGTTAAGAAATGGAAAGACTTGGAAAAAATTATATTAGGTGAAGTAAGCCAGGCCCAAAGAAACATAGGTCCCATGCTTTCCCTTGTTTGCAATGACAAATACATGTCTAGGACAAGCAGAGAAGGTCAAAGGCTATGTGGCTATGTACACATGACTATATGAGATAATGTTAAGTGAAATGTACTCCAAGGACACAAGTGATTTTCTTCTTTTTTGCTATTGTTTTAAATGTACTTACATGATTCTTTTATTTCTTTTGTATGTTCTTCCCCCATGGCATAGCACCTATTTTCACTGTATTTGATTCTGGTGTTACGCATCTTGTATATACATTTTTGTAATTTGGGGAGGGGAAGCAGTATAGAGGAATATTTAAATGGGGATGCAGGTTTACCCATTGTGATGATGAGATGTACAGGACACTATGTTGAAAATGAACTTTACAATGTCAGAGGGGCAAGAGGAGTTGGGGAGGTGGGGAGGGAAGGGATGATAGGGGAAAAACAAAGGAGAAGGTAACAATGCTTGATAGGAAATGTACTCATTACCCTACTCATGTAACTGTAACCCCTCGGTACAGTATTTTAACAATAAAAATATATATTAAAATACTTCATATTTTATAAACTCCATGTTTTCCTTTTAATGCATGGAAAAACCCATGTTGGCACTCAGAACCAGTCCTTTAACACAATAGCAACAATGACAAAATAACAGAGTAGTTAGTTTATCCTTATCCATCATTGCACACATTTGCACCAGTTCTGAAATATCGTAGGGTCCAGATGCAATTTGACAACCTTCAGTTACCTACTGTCTTACAGTTAATTTCCTATCTCCACTCTTTGGGTGCTCTGCTGATTTGTGTATCAGATTTCTGCCCTGGGCAGTTCTTATTGTGTCTGTTGGGTTTTCCTTCCTTGTTTTAGGAACTCCTTCCTGTGCATAGCTCTAGTGTTTTTCAGGATCACTGCCACATCACCACACAGTGGTGATTTTTTATTTCATTCCCATCTAAGATAGACAATCTGCAGATCTGTCTACTCATCCACTGTTAGGGAGGGAAATGAAGGAATTCACCTGTAGGGGGTGGAGAGCTGCTGTTCTGTTGCTCAGGTCTAAAGAACATCCTGTGGATTACTTCTTCCAAGTCATTTGCACAGCTTTCTCCTTCATGTCATTCTTCCTGTTGCTCCTGGTACTCACTGCTAGCTCTTCAACTTAAGCTTGTGAAGGTAGCAAATACTTACTGTGGAGCGTTGTATCTGGAATTAACTATGATCTCTATGGAAATCATAAAACATCCAGAGAAAAACTCTCTCACACACTCACAAATACACACGCATACACCTCCTCCTTTTCAATGTTGTTCTCCTTAAGTGTGTTTAAAATATTTCTTATAGTGAGAATTTGTCATGTGGATAATATTGGTGACTAGATCTTTGATGTTAAATGAGTCCTGAAACCTCACTGCTCAGAAGGTTTGAACTATCATCTTAAGGTTGTAAAGACTCAATACCAGGCCAAGGGGTAAAAATCTAATGACATCACTCCCATTTTAAAAAGAAAGCTTTTTTCATCCTATCATTTTGCCTATTGTGGATTAATGTACTGCATGGTGTTTAACCTGCAGACCTCCTAGGAAAAACCAGGCTTGTGGTTCCACAGGGCCTTAGATGAGGATGTGGACATCAGAGCTTATGAAAGTAGGTTACAGAGGAACTAGTACAGGCCCTCAGATTTCCCACCAAATGCAAATACTTCCTTGCAAACTTGGCTGCAAAAGAGAATTCAGGACTCAGGGCATTGAGACCTGCATTGTGGAGGCACAACTTACTTGATATAAAACTGGAGGCATAATATATCACAATATCTATTACACAGGAAGTTGTGTAGATAGACTCTCAGTTTTCCACCCTCCAGGATTTTCTCTTCATTATCAGCTGCCAGGGCGTAGGTGTGCCATTGTCCTGATTGAATGAGAAAGACCCCATTAGGCAGGTTAGAGGATGGATCTTCAGTTTTGTTCTCTAAACACTCAGGAGTTCAAGTAACCTGCTTGCAATTACCTGGAGAGTTCCCTCTCTAGACTCTGAGCTACTAGACGCTGCATCTTTCAGAAGACAATGTACTAGAAGTATTCAGAGTCTCTGATTCTTACTGCATTCTATTAATAAATTTGAAGAGTCAGGAAGAAGGAGTATTTGTAGGAGGAGATTCTAAGTCTCCATGGAATGACTATATGGAGATCTGTTTGTCAAAGTAACACACACAAAATTATAAAACTTCAATACCTAAGCGTATATGAAATATCACCACAAAATCACAAATATATATATATATATATATATAAAATATATGTTTATAGTTATTGCCCAATGAAATGGAAGAACTCAAAATAGAAGAACTGATTGTTGAATAAAGACATTAGGGCAACCTATTAGTAAAATGTGATTGATAAACGAAAGCGAATGTGAGACAAACACACTGACAGTCAGAGAGACAGAAAATTTCCCCACACAGACTATTTCCTCACATCACCATGTTCAGGTTAGCTGTACTAATACAATTGGGGATTCTGCTGAGTGCAAGTCAAGGTGAGTAGCAGAGCCAACAGCAGAGCCAGCAGCAGGACTCTCATGCTGTGAGGCTTTCTGTCCCCTTTGTGGTTGGGGACGGTGGCAGCTCCTCCTGGCTTTTATAGGACTCTATGGTTCAGTCTCCCTCATGCACCAATCAATGCTCATCCTCAAGTGTTGTTGACTCTTACCCCCGAATATCCTGCTTGGCACAGGTGGTCCAGAGGGAATTCCAGCTTGTCAAGCAGATGAGCAGCAAGAACATAGTGAGCTGAGGACATTCATGTTCTCTGGGAATGCAGTGACCTGATTAGCACTTTCTTGTACAGAATTATTTATTTTCTCTGACTTGGCAGTTAGTGAAATGGATGGAGTATCATGGGAAGGGCAACTGAGTCTCCTTCATTCTGGCTGAAGGCAAAATGGCAAAGCTTCCTTGACACTGTGGTTAGTTTAACTCTCTGGTGGAAGAAGTGAAGTCCTGGGGGCAGATGGCATCAAAATCAGATGGAAGATTCCAAGCCAGCCCAGGCTGTGTGAAAGTCCTGGAGATGCTTTCCTCCAGCTGACCACCCAAAAGGACACAGGTGGAGATGTGGCTCAAACTGTAGGGTGTTAGCAGGGAGAAAAATAATATTTAAGGCACAGCAACCCAAGCCTAAACCTAAGTCCAAGACCCAGGACATGTACTAAATAAAAAGAAAATATTATCTTTATCTGTCCCTTAGGGAAACAGTGACTTCTTTACATGTCTCATAGGGCATTTTTTATTAGACACTCCTATGGATTGGCCACATTCCTCAAGTGACAATTGGAAGAAAAATGCACCTGGGCACTTTAAATTTCTAACCGTGGGATGAAGTTCACAGTCAACTTCAGGTAGCAGAGTCTGTAGTAGATATCTATGGCCTTTATTGGCAGAAGCGGAGGCACTGGCAGAGTGGATGCAAGTTTTTGCCATGACAGGAAGGACAGCATGCACAGATGAACATCCCACAAGACTTTCTGACTGAAGAGCCTCACAGTGTCACAATGGGAGAAATACAGAGTGGATTCTTCAGATTTAAGTCTCAGAAGAGCAACTCCTCTTTCTTTGCAGGAGGATTCCAATAAACCATTCAGAAAAAGCCAGAGGTGGTGCTCTGTTTTAAGTGGTAGAGTGCTAGCCTGGAGCACAGAGACTCACAGAGGGTGTCCAGGCCATGAATTCAAGGCCCAGGACTGGCCAAAAATAGAAAAAAGCCTGACATGAGGATGAAATAGGGATGTTGATAATGGGACTCTGGACTGATTCAGGTTTTCCAATCCTATTTGAAGCACTAACCCCCTTGACCTACACTTCTCATCTTAAGTTTAGTTGTTGGATAAGGAAAGATGATAATTTTTAGGGGGAGGCTAATTCAAAATGTGATCACCAGATCCCTTCCTCCTGAGTCATTAAGGTAATAACTAGAAGTCACCAATACCTAGCCTCATGATCACAGTCTTAAGCAACTTGAGAATACTCACCCAATTGAAGGGTAGAGAAAATTGAAATCTCCAGCCAGCCTTGGTCTTAACTCCTGCTGTGTGGAAACATAAGGTTGTGGTTTCAATTGGTTAATCCAACAAAATAGGGATCCACTCCACAAACCACCATCCATTTTTCCACCAAATCACTGGAAGGAGAAACCATGGTACATCAATCTATGACGTCATGAAAACCAACCCCAAGAGAAAGGCTTGTGACATGTAAAGTGAGGACACAGAATCTCTTCAAATAAGTAAACCCCAAGTCCAGAATAGGAGGAATGTCAGAAAATACTGGATTCCTCAGTGATGGGAACTATTTTTTTTAAATCATTGTTCAATTAATAGTGCTATTTCCCCCTCAATCTCAGTCTTAGCATCCAAGAGCATAGTAATTTTATTTTTCAGGAGTGGTTAGGGAAAAAAAAAAACTTTTCTGGAAGGGATCAGTCTCAGGAACCTCAATCGGTCTATTTGCCCGTGAGCCTCAAGTTGAGGTCTTGGGGGGGGGCAGGGGGAATCTGTGTAGGTAAAAGCCCATGCATCCCTTCAGTTCACAGATGTCTCCTGGGTAATTTGAGATCATCCTACAAGTCTCACCTGAGATGCTGGCAGCTCATGGCTTCCTCTGCCACCAAAGCTGATCTAAGGAATTCCATGGATACTTTTAGTGAGAATTCTATCATAT